TTAATAATAATTAATATTTAAATAAAATCTTTGAAACAAATTTTTTCAGAAATAATATACGGAATATCAGATAATTTAATCAGATGTTTCTCATATTCAAATAAGTCAAAAAATTTAATTTTACTTAAAACTTTTTCCATAAAAAGTTAACTATTTATTTGAAAAATAATTTCATCAAGATTCTTATGATACAAAACTTTAATTATTTGCTAGGAAAATACTACAAAATTAAAGTACTATTTTGATTATATTGTAACTATTAATTGCTTTCTTAATCATTCTTGCCATAACTTTTTTCAAATTTAAGATTATTTGTTTTTCTCTACATTGTTTAATTAAAAATTTTAAAATAATATTCAAATGTTATTAAATTAATAATAATGTTAAAATTAGAATCAAAATATTTGCTTATCTTCATAGAATGAGATAGTGTCAAGTATATCTGAAAAAATTGTTTGCTTAATGAGTATTAATCATACCATTATACAGGACTTAATAATTGTTTTACATTTTTCTATATTTAATATTTTAAAATAAATGATAAGAGTAAAGAATATTATTCAAGGATTATTTTAGAAGAAAAGGATTGAAAATTTTGGTTTCCTAAATATAACTATAGGAATTTAATTCTATTTTAGTATTTAATGAATGATAAACTTCTGATTACATATAGATAAATTGTTGCTTATATTTTTACATTTTTTATGTTTAATATTATAAAATTGGTATTTATTATGTAGGATTTTTGTAATTGGTTTTCTTGTATTATAATTTTGAAAAAAATTACAATCTTTGATGGCTAGTTTAAAAAAATTCATTTTTATTGCATAATTTTATTTAAAATACATTAATGTATTATTTTTATTAAAATATTAATAATGATTTCTCTGAGTTATAATGATTTTTTATAATTAATAAAAATTATTTCTGATTTTTAATTGCTGAGTTTTTAAAGATTAATTTTCATGTCCTGTACAATTTTACTTTTTTTTCTTTTGATAGAATGCAAAGTCAAACAAGTACAGGATTATATCAAGATAGTTTTTTTTCAATTATTTTTAATCAATTTAATTATAATCATTTAAAAAAAATTAATTAAAAATAATTGTGAAAAACTAGCCTGATGTAAACTACTGGATTACTTTGGAATAATAGATTGGGTTTTGAGATATTTGTATATGTACAGTACAATGCAAAGATTTACATTAAGTAATTGACAACGATACTTTTGAATAATGATAATTTAATACTTATCTGGATCTATCTTTTATTTTTTTCTCATTACATAAAAGATTTTAACAATTTTTTTTTTTTTTTAACAGCACCAGGACCACATGAAGATGAAAGTGAAATTGATACAGGTGAAATGACAAACCAATTACAGCAACAGAAATTGGATGATAAAAAAGAAGACAAAGGAGATGGAGGTAATTTTTTTTCCTATGCTTATTTAATAAATGTGATTTTAGTTATATATGGCCTAACTAATTCAATTAATTTAATAACTGCTACTTAACAACTGGTTGAGAATAGCAAATAATAATACAGAAATAACCTAACAAACCAGCAACAATATTTTAAACAAAGTGCGAACATTTTTGCCTGTGTTGAATGGGCATAATCAGGAAACAAACTAGAGAAAACACAGGGGATTGCCTAACACATGCATAGTGGGAATGGAGTATGACATAAGACAAGAAGCAAAGGAAGAGGAAGGGGAAAGTTTGTAATTCATAGAAAGATTTCCAGGCAGTGAGGAAGGAGTCAACGTTGCGATAATTTATGGCTGAGTTATGGTGGGTGGCTTTGTAAATTTCCACTTGTGGAAATCTACCTGGATGCCTGAGTCAGATGCATAGATAGCCAAAGCTGTTTTGGTTAAACCTTTTTTGATAGACATATGACGTTCTTTGAGACAGGTATGAAGCAGGTGAGACAGCTCCTATGTATTGTAAGCAGCAGTTATAACGATGATCAAAGATGGGGATACTGTAGATGTGCCTGGCAGGTGGTACTTGTTTGAGACAGACTTTGGCATTACAGAGGAGTGAGGCAGTATTGGGACTTCTGGGAAAGGCCAGCTGAAATTTGTTTCCTTGTGAAATGTCTTTGTAAAGGGTGGCAAGAGACTTGTTGTAGGTGATGTTCTTGAACTGAATTTCTTTGAGTGGATTTAATTAGTAGAGTGGAGGCAGTGCTGGAAAGACTGCGAATAAGTCTCTTAATAGTGTGTGGGGAGTAAGCCAGCTAGGTGGCATATTGGATGATAGTATGAAACTCTCTCTCTCTTTCTTGTCTCAACAAGAGACTTGTTGAGACAAGAAAGAAAGAGTTTCATACTATATGTATACTAGAAATATGTAGATACTGTCTCTTTCTTGTCTAATAAGAGACTTGTTGAGACAAGAAAGAGACAGTATCTACATATTTTATTTATTGTTTTCAGGATTAAATTTATTATTTAGAGCATTTAGTTGTGTTATTTTTATCTTGAATTATGTGTATTTGCTGTTTAATTTTAACAAAATGAGTATTGTTTAGGATTTGGGAAGAGATTAATTCACTTTCCATTATTTCTAAATGAGAAAATGATCTAGACTTCAAACAATTCAGAGTTCAAATGGCCTCCTGGAACAAATTAAATTCAAAGTATGAGACATCACTGTACAAATTGATACAAATCACTGTACAGATCACCGACAATTTACTAGTCGTATTATATTTAAAGTTAAAGTAATTTGAATGATTTAGTAGATAATTCTTGACACTTGATTAATATAATAACTGATTTTATTTATTTTTAAAATTATTACAAAGTTTGTAAAACTAATGTATAGTATTTTATTCATTAAAGAATAACATATCAAAAACTATACTAGTCAAACATTCTTCAAAAATATTGAAACATTCAAAATAATAAAATAGATGTGTCAGTAAGTGGTACTTAATTTAAAAAAGGATTGTAATTTGAATTTTTATATAAACTGAATAATCAAACCTTTTGAAACTAATTACAATATTTAAAAATTAGGATTGATTGGGATGAAAAATACTTATGAAAAGATATTATTAACATGCTATTATGAAAAGATATTTAACATGCTATTTTNAGTTATTTTTTCTCTTTCTTCAATATCTATCACTGAAATACATGAAATATAAAAATTTTTAATTTAAAATTAATCTTAATTATATTTAAGTTCACATCTTTTACCTACCCAAGTGGTTGCTCCATCTTGGTTGTCATCTAGTTCCATTTCTTCTAGAGTATTTAGCCAAGGTAACATTAGCATTTCCTTGATTGTTATATCATTCACAACTGCGAGATCTTTGTATATGCCTGGTCTGTGTTAATGTAATCTTGAGACAGTACATCATTTTCATTCAGTCCCTCTATTAAAATCTGAATGTCAGTAATTTCTTGTAATAAATCTGGCTCCTCTATTTTATCATTTTAATTTGAATTAAAACCCACCTTTCTGAAATAGTTTCTTAGGCAGTTGTTGCTGATGTTTTTGTGAGCATCTGATATTTATTGAACAGTGTGCAATGCAGAAATTTTACTAGATGATTCAGATGCAATGATATTAATCCACATGAGTAATGTCATTGCATCTCATGTGGATCAAAAATTCTGAAAGGGGCAGGTAATTAATGGTAAATTCCAGACTGATTATGAAACATTAGTCTATTTATATAACATTTTCCTGCATGCTCAGAATTGATTTGTATGCAAGAGACATTGTTTCATAAAGTTGTGATATGTTTGAATATTCTTCTTGGAATTTCATGTTAAATTTGTCATTCATTTCCAAGGACTGACTGAAAAAATAGAAATATAACTTGAAATGTGAGTTGTTGTAGTTTTCAGTTTTTGAGATGCAACAAACTTATTTCCCAAATACTGCTGTTGGAAGCATAATGTTAGTGTAGGTTATTGCTGCAGAATTTGATTAACATATCATTTCAATGCCATATTACAAATGTGAGAATTACAATTAGACAATGGTGTCATAACAGTACAAATTGTCTTTCAAAAACACAGAGTTTAACTTAATTCTGATAGTTTCTAACCATGGTGATGTCAGCTGAGAAAGATTACACTGGAAATATTAAATGCTATGAATAGTCAGTCAGTGTGACCAGATTATTAAAGTTTGATTGTTGTCTATTATTCTGTTTGTTGATTAGCATTAGTTGTCTAGCTTGTTCAGTTCAGTATGTAACAATCATAGTGATACAGTAATGAGCATTTTTGTCTACTATATTCATTGCAAGAAGTATGAATCTTTTACAAATACTTAAGCATGTTGAATTGCATATTCCCAGATGGTTGCCTTTAAAAAAATGCTGAGAGTTATATTTCAGACATTGGATGCTCTTATATTCCTTGAATCAAAAATTTGTTCTGGTACAGATACAATAGCAAATTATTTGCTGAAGGCTGTGAAGAACATTTGGTTTGTGTATATCTCACACATTTTGATGGGTATCTTGCCAATATTAATGAATTTAAGCAAGATCTTAAAGATCTTGCTTAAATTCATTAATATTGGCAAGATACCCATCAAAATGTTAAAATTAAACAGCTTCTCTTTAATTAAACCTTTGACAAATCTGAGATGTCTGAAAGAAAAAGTTGGAGAAGCAGAAGGAAAATTTTTTATTAGTATCATAAATGATAATCAGTTGGCTACAGATGGACAAGATCCACAAAGAAAATTTTACTATTCATTATGAGACCATTTCAAATTATATGATTGCAAAAGAAGAATATCCAGTTCAAAAGAAAAATTGTCTCAAATTGAATGATACATTACTGATTAGATCTCAAGGCCATATAATATATAATTTCCAAAAAAGATGTTGACATTCAAGAATGTTTTTCTGCATATGACTTTGTAAATATGAAACAAATAGAAAATGAAAAATGTCAACACTATGTTCAAACTCTTTGATCACTATGCACAGTTTATAAAGTTGGACTTGCTTTCAGAATATTAAGATGTTTTTCTGTTATTTACAAGGAATTGCATTCTAAAATTTGTTGAAATAGTACAATTATTTATTAAAAAATACGGAAGTGTATATCCTTACACAGTAATAATACTGGAAATTGCTTGTTTTGCCAATTTGATCAGCTAATGTTGAATGATCCTTCACACCCAAAATAGAATAAAAACAAAATTCAAGAACAAGCTTTGAGAAGGTACAGTAAGCAATCTAAATCAAATTGCTAATGCTTATGTTAAATTGGAAACATTTGTTCTTTCCAAAACAGCTCCCATTTTATGGTTATTTTTATGGCAGGAAGTGTTAAAGACTGACTGAGAAGTGGACTAAAGAAGAGACATTTGAAAATGTCTGGTATACTGGTCACTGTCTTTGGTCTCTTGTCTCTCACAAGCTGGTCACTGATTGGCTAATCATTTGGCTCAGCCAATCAGTGACCGGCTTGTGAGAGACGAGAGACCAAAGACAGCGACCAGAATACGGCCCCTGGTGTTGCAGCATCAGTTATGTGATTCTCAGTGATTAGCTGATTGCATGAAGAAGAGTTTTTTGGGGCATGGACTTTGCATATGTACTGTAGTTTCTGTTTGAATAATTTAAGCAGATTGTTTTTCAAATCTAGATCCTTTATCTTAATATGCTGGTGCAATTTGTTTGATTTCATGCTGTCATTACTTTACAACAGTCAAATGTTCAATGCAGTTTTTCTTTTAATATTCTGCATCATCAGTTTTATCAACTATCCTTGATGCAAACAAAAAATTATCAGACATTAGACTGTAACACATCTCAAAGATAAGCTCAGATAAGGTAAAAATAAATGAGAGTAATACTGATATTTTACTTCCACTAACTGGATTAATCTATCACCAGTGACTAACATAATTTGCAAGACTTTATATATTATATTGTTTCAGAGTTACCTCTCTAATTTTAAGTAACAAGAATACATTAAATTTTGTTCAAAATAACAAAATATCATAAAATTCAAATAAAACTTGTAATAAAATACAATGAGCTCAATGAATTAAACTTAATAATAACTTGATAAATGTAACATATAACTTTGAATTTATATTTATTCCATAACTTGGGATTGTAATGTTCTCAAACACCTCTATTTGAATCTGATGATAGCTACTAATAGAGCTTTTAAAACATTTGTTTATTATAAATTGATGATGGAAACCTCTAGCAATATAAACATCTAGAAATAGAATTATTCACGTATCTTCCACTTAGTTGCATGTTGGGTCATAAATGAAGGCACTGAGCTATGGCTGTTTAACTATAAAATATAATTACAAAGTTTTCACACTTTAAAACTTTATGCAACATACCAAAAATCACGTTGTGGTCTACAGTTTGAGAAAGACTGTTACTATGAACTGATACTTTGTTATGGATTTGATAGTGTTAATAAAAAGGCGACATAATCAAATATGTGAATTATTTATTAATTTTGTTATGTGAGCATTATTTTATCAATAATGTGAAATAATAAGTAGTTGTGTAAGTTTTTGTTTTTAATTTAAAGATTTTAAATGTAATAAAACACATAAAATAAGATTAGTAGTAGTAATTAGTTTCTTAGAAAACAAAAACATATAGTATTTTTTAAAAAATGTTAAATGATTCAAGGAACTTCATTGGTTTATTCTGATTATCCTCTATGTTGTTATATTAGCAGTCATTTAAAACATATTTAATGAGAATAAGTCAATAAAACTGACTAACTTGAGTTGTTCAGAATATTTTAGTTTGTTTTCTGTGAAGAAATTCATCCAAACATTACAATAACAGTTTTTTTTAATTGAAAACAAATAAATACATAAATTAAACCAAAAAAGTTTTTATATTTCTTCTCAGTTCTATGCCCTTCAAAGGTCATGGTAATATTACAAATTGATGGCTTTAATTGTATCTTTCCACTATTCCTGGTGTTGTGCCATGTAGATGGCTTCATATATTGTATGTCCTGTAATCATTATTACTTGGTCTGCCCACCTAATCTGACATCTGCCTCTAGTGTGTTTTCCATTGATCTTCCCTTCCAGGATTTGTTTCTCAAATCCATTTTTGCATCTGGAAATATATCCCAAGAAGCGAAGGTAGGATTGGTATATTTTAGTGGTAAGGCGTGTTATGATTTTCAGTTGATTTAGGATGGAGCAATTTGTTTGGTGCTCCATCCAATAGATTCTCAGCATTCTTCTATATGTCCATATTTCAAAATCTTCAAGTTTCAAGGAATCAAGTTTCTTCTGAGAAGTGGCATTTATGGTCCAGGTTTCTGAGGCATAAGTGACAATCGGAAAAATAAGCGTTCTTATGAGCTTTAGTTTATTAAAAATAGTGATTGCAGAATTTTTCCAAATTCTAAATAATTTAGAGGTTGTATTGTGAGCTAGGCAAATTCTGCATTTAATTTCATTATTGCATTCGCCTTTATTTGTAAGAAATGATCTAAGGTAAACAAATTCATTCACCACCTTATAGCCTGCAATTTCCATAGTCTGTGTCAAGGAACAATCAATTATCATAACTTTTATTTTACTTTCATTAATCAGCAATCCATATTCCCTGCTCTCAGTTTCAAGATGTTTGATAATATATTCAAGTTCTGATTCACTGAATGCTATAATAAGTTTATTGTCAGTGTATCTCAGGTTGTTAACTTTATGGCCCCTGATGGAAATGCCTCTGTCCCAGTTATCTAATACCCTTCTCATGATTATTTCAGAATAAGCATTAAAGAGTAAAGGGAAACCAGCTTCACCAGCTTCAGATGTATTATTTAAATGTATTAGACACAGTTTTGGTAGCTTACTCTTGCAGAGTTATTCTCATATAAATTTCTGATCATCGAAATAATATGGTGCAGGACTCCCATGTTCTGGAGAGTAGGCCATAATTTGTGTCATTTTACACAATGAAAGGCTTTGATATAGTCTATGAAACAAAGGTAAACTTTGACATTAAATTCATAGGCTTTTTCAATGATTTGTCAAGCGTTCAAGATTTGTTCATGAGTTCATTTACCAGGGATAAACCCCGACTGCTCTTTAGCTATTTCAGGTAATAGGAAGGGTTTCAAACAGTTATTAATTATTTGTAGCATTACTGGCATAGTTAATTAGGCTGATAGTTCTGTAGTTACTACAGTCTGTTGGTGCACTTTTTTTATAAATTGGAATAAATATTGATTTACACCATTCTTCTGACCATCTCTTAGATTTCCAAATTAATGTGCAGATTTTATGAAATATGTCAACACCCAGTTCTCACATGCTTTTAAAATTTTAGAGGTTATATTGTCAGGTCCTGGAGCTTTGTGATTTCTTAATGTATTTATGGCCTTTTCTACCTCTGATTTAAGAATACATGGTTCAACTTCCTCTGTCCATCCATTCTGAAGTTGATTATTACTATTTGTTTGTCCAGTGTCTTTATAAAGTTTCTCACAATACTTCCTCCAGACATTCGCAATCCCCTCCGCAGCAGTTATGATTTCATTTTCATCATTTTTAATTATTTGTGTGCATGATTTGAACTTTCTTGCTAGATATCTATTTATTGTATAGTTCATGAGTTTGATTATTATTTGCATGCACTTCAATTTCATTGCATATACTGTCGATATAATCATTTTTGTCTTTCTTACAGGCCTTTTTGATTTTTTTGTCTAGCTCTTTCTTCTTTTCATCTGCAACAATTGCTGAAGTTGTTAATTTTTTTCTTTCATCTGTTAATTCAAGGGTACTATTTGTCTTCCAATGTTTCTTTTTCTGTGGCCAATGTTGTCTGGTGCATTGTTGTACTCCAGTTAAAATTCAACTTTTTGTTTGTGTCCATAAAACATCTGGATTGTTTGTAAAGGATGGAGTGTCGAAATTTTGGAGAGTCTGTTGTAAGATTGAACTAACTGGAGTCTCAAGTCTTGGGTTGATCTTTGATATTTTTGTCGTATGGAGTTTTAATGTTACTTCTGCTTTTAATAGCTTATGATCAGAGTTTCAGAATACCCAGGTCTTGCTCTGACATTTACTGATGATCTCCATCTTGTTCTTATTAACATGTAATCAATTTGGTTTTTATATTCACCTGTTGAGGATGTCCAAGTAGAAAGACACCGATAATGGTGTTTGAACATGGTGTTAGTTATTGAAAAACTGTTATCGATTGCAAACTGAAGGGGTCTATTTCCTCTCTCATTTCTGGTGTTCAGTCGTAATTGTCCTATAATGCCCTGTAGATTATCATCATTTTACACTAACATATCTACTTAAGTTCAAATAGTTTGAAACCGATTTTAATCAACGGATCAGGCAGGCAACGGAAAACCACCTGATTATTTTCCCATGAGAATATTATGATGAGGATGAGCAATAATGGTATCAATGATATGCATGGCGAATCAGTTTGGTATCAAATGACGTAGAATCAAACTGATTCCAGGTCATTTGATGTGAAATGGGCTACCAGGCATGTGGACATAGGCAAACCAGGCACCACAAGCGAAATATGCTTCTGGAAGAAATTTAAAATTACATCTAAGGAGAAATTTATCTTTAGTTACTTGGAATGTAAGAGGACTTTTACAGACTGGAAAGCTCTGCATAGTAGAAAGAGAGCTTAATCAAGAGAATATACTGATTTGTGGCATCTTCGAAACACATTGGAGAGAGAGTGGTCATTTTGATACAATTGATCACACAATATATGTTTCAGGTATGACCAAAAATAGACGTAATAGAGTGGTCTTTGTTATTGACAAATGCTTAACAAAATTTGTGGAAGACTATGAACCTATCAATGACCGTATAATCAAAATTACAATATCTTCCGGGTCAGTAAATCTTCATATTATTCAGGTTTATATGTTCACTTTGGCTGCTTTGGATGATGAAGTGGACACAGTGTACACACAAATTGAAAACATCATCACAAAAATACCACAGAATGACATATTTATAATAATGGGAGATTTTAATGCTAAGATAGGCAATACAAAAAATGATGATTTTTATATTTATTAAATATAAAATGAATCTTATATTTGCTAAAATGAAATTCAGATATTTTAATATAAAACATGCTAACACTTAGAAAAATGACAAATGATCATTGTTTTATCAGTTTTTTTCAACATTAATTAAGCAAATGTGACATAAAAATTTCATGACATTAATATTTATGGTTGCAATTGCAAAAATTTTAATTGAGTGAAATTTTAGTCTTGAAGAATAATTGAAACTGTTTTATTTATGTATTAAAATGTTATAATTAAAGTTTTAAGTAGTATTTAAACTGAATAACTTTTACTTTTCAAAACTAGTTTGTCTTTAAGTCTTAAAAATTGCCAGAAAGTGGTCTGACAAAATTATTTTTAGAATATGGGTTAATGACATAAGCAGTTGCTAACTTTTAAATCATGGTTGTTTTAGTAAATTTCAAGATCTATTTTCTATTTGCTTTATAAGTTAAATAAATTAATAATAATTAAATTTAAATAAAATCTTTGAAACAAATTTTTCAGAAATAATATACGGAATATCAGATAATTTAATCAGATGTTTCTCATATTCAAATAAGTCAAAAAATTTAATTTTACTTAAAACTTTTTCCATAAAAAGTTAACTATTTATTTGAAAAATAATTTAATCAAGATTCTTATGATACAAAACTTTAATTATTTGCTAGGAAAATACTACAAAATTAAAGTACTATTTTGATTATATTGTAACTATTAATTGCTTTCTTAATCATTCTTGCCATAACTTTTTTCAAATTTAAGATTATTTGTTTTTCTCTACATTGTTTAATTAAAAATTTTAAAATAATATTCAAATGTTATTAAATTAATAATAATGTTAAAATTAGAATCAAAATATTTGCTTATCTTCATAGAATGAGATAGTGTCAAGTATATCTGAAAAAATTGTTTGCTTAATGAGTATTAATCATACCATTATACAGGACTTAATAATTGTTTTACATTTTTCTATATTTAATATTTTAAAATAAATGATAAGAGTAAAGAATATTATTCAAGGATTATTTTAGAAGAAAAGGATTGAAAATTTTGGTTTCCTAAATATAACTATAGGAATTTAATTCTATTTTAGTATTTAATGAATGATAAACTTCTGATTACATATAGATAAATTGTTGCTTATATTTTTACATTTTTTATGTTTAATATTATAAAATTGGTATTTATTATGTAGGATTTTTGTAATTGGTTTTCTTGTATTATAATTTTGAAAAAAATTACAATCTTTGATGGCTAGTTTAAAAAAATTCATTTTTATTGCATAATTTTATTTAAAATACATTAATGTATTATTTTTATTAAAATATTAATAATGATTTCTCTGAGTTATAATGATTTTTTATAATTAATAAAAATTATTTCTGATTTTTAATTGCTGAGTTTTTAAAGATTAATTTTCATGTCCTGTACAATTTTACTTTTTTTTCTTTTGATAGAATGCAAAGTCAAACAAGTACAGGATTATATCAAGATAGTTTTTTTTCAATTATTTTTAATCAATTTAATTATAATCATTTAAAAAAAATTAATTAAAAATAATTGTGAAAAACTAGCCTGATGTAAACTACTGGATTACTTTGGAATAATAGATTGGGTTTTGAGATATTTATATATGTACAGTACAATGCAAAGATTTACATTAAGTAATTGACAACGATACTTTTGAATAATGATAATTTAATACTTATCTGGATCTATCTTTTATTTTTTTCTCATTACATAAAAGATTTTAACAATTTTTTTTTTTTTTAACAGCACCAGGACCACATGAAGATGAAAGTGAAATTGATACAGGTGAAATGACAAACCAATTACAACAACAGAAATTGGATGATAAAAAAGAAGACAAAGGAGATGGAGGTAATTTTTTTTCCTATGCTTATTTGATAAATGTGATTTTAGTTATATATGGCCTAACTAATTCAATTAATTTAATAACTGCTACTTAACAACTGGTTGAGAATAGCAAATAATAATACAGAAATAACCTAACAAACCAGCAACAATATTTTAAACAAAGTGCGAACATTTTTGCCTGTGTTGAATGGGCATAATCAGGAAACAAACTAGAGAAAACACAGGGGATTGCCTAACACATGCATAGTGGGAATGGAGTATGACATAAGACAAGAAGCAAAGGAAGAGGAAGGGGAAAGTTTGTAATTCATAGAAAGAATTCCAGGCAGTGAGAAAGGAGTCAACGTTGCGATAATTTATGGCTGAGTTATGGTGGGTGGCTTTGTAAATTTCCACTTGTGGAAATCTACCTGGATGCCTGAGTCAGATGCATAGATAGCCAAAGCTGTTTTGGTTAAACCTTTTTTGATAGACATATGACGTTCTTTGAGACAGGTATGAAGCAGGTGAGACAGCTCCTATGTATTGTAAGCAGCAGTTATAACGATGATCAAAGATGGGGATACTGTAGATGTGCCTGGCAGGTGGTACTTGTTTGAGACAGACTTTGGCATTACAGAGGAGTGAGGCAATATTGGGACTTCTGGGAAAGGCCAGCTGAAATTTGTTTCCTTGTGAAATGTCTTTGTAAAGGGTGGCAAGAGACTTGTTGTAGGTGATGTTCTTGAACTGAATTTCTTTGAGTGGATTTAATTAGTAGAGTGGAGGCAGTGCTGGAAAGATTGCGAATAAGTCTCTTAATAGTGTGTGGGGAGTAAGCCAGCTAGGTGGCATATTGGATGATAGTATGAAACTCTCTCTCTCTTTCTTGTCTCAACAAGAGACTTGTTGAGACAAGAAAGAAAGAGTTTCATACTATATGTATACTAGAAATATGTAGATACTGTCTCTTTCTTGTCTAATAAGAGACTTGTTGAGACAAGAAAGAGACAGTATCTACATATTTTATTTATTGTTTTCAGGATTAAATTTATTATTTAGAGCATTTAGTTGTGTTATTTTTATCTTGAATTATGTGTATTTGCTGTTTAATTTTAACAAAATGAGTATTGTTTAGGATTTGGGAAGAGATTAATTCACTTTCCATTATTTCTAAATGAGAAAATGATCTAGACTTCAAACAATTCAGAGTTCAAATGGCCTCCTGGAACAAATTAAATTCAAAGTATGAAACATCACTGTACAAATTGATACAAATCACTGTACAGATCACCGACAATTTACTAGTCGTATTATATTTAAAGTTAAAGTAATTTGAATGATTTAGTAGATAATTCTTGACACTTGATTAATATAATAACTGATTTTATTTATTTTTAAAATTATTACAAAGTTTGTAAAACTAATGTATAGTATTTTATTCATTAAAGAATAACATATCAAAAACTATACTAGTCAAACATTCTTCAAAAATATTGAAACATTCAAAATAATAAAATAGATGTGTCAGTAAGTGGTACTTAATTTAAAAAAGGATTGTAATTTGAATTTTTATATAAACTGAATAATCAAACCTTTTGAAACTAATTACAATATTTAAAAATTAGGATTGATTGGGATGAAAAATACTTATGAAAAGATATTATTAACATGCTATTATGAAAAGATATTTAACATGCTATTTTAAATTATTTGACAATAAATTCATTAAAATATTAATAAATAGAACAATAAACAATATAATTTAAAATTCAGGTTCAGGCAATAAGTTAAATAATTCTTTATGTAAAATTTTTATCCAAAGCTAATATTTGTAATAAAATTTTATGATTTTAAACAGTTGATGATGAAGATAAAGTTGAGTCAACTGAAAATGTTGGCCGAAAGAAGAAGAAGAAGAAAGGAAAAGGTAATTAAAAATTTTTGTTCCTATTACAATCTTTTGAATTTTTTTTAATCTAGGTGATATGATATTTTGTTATATTATAATTCTTTTTAAATTTTATTAAATTGCAGCTCTTAACATATGCAGTTAAACTTTCGTATTACAAATTTCTCTTTATAAATTTGTAACAAATCTTCATGGAATGCTGAAAATATGCTGGTTTTTTTACACAGTGAAGGTTGTTCCCATTTTGAAAAGTTTAACTTCTATATAATGAAGTTTTTAAAACCAGATTATTAGGTGTAAACCTCAAAATAGATGGGAATGGAAGTCCTTGTGAGAGATATATGATGTTAGCATTCAGTTATGATTATTTTTAGGTAATTATATACGTCTGTTGGGGACAAACTTTCTAGTAATGGAAGATTTTCATTAAGAAAACTTGTCAAGTGGAATAGAGTAAAAAATCATATTGTCATTGCTTTCTCTGTATTGATGTGAGAGACTACTGTGAAGTATGCAGTAAAATGTGTTTAGTATAATAGCAAAATCCATTATGTCTAAACATAAATATAAGTATTAAGTGTAGTTTTTCTTTAAAAGTACAGATTAGTAATGAAGTTCAAATGGGGGACAACAAAAAGAATATTGTTTTGTTTTGGTATACCAGCCAATTCACTTTCAACAGTTTGAAAATAAAAAATAGGTTGTGAAAAAAATCTGAATATCTAAATTTTGAGAATAAACATTGATGATAATGAAGTGGTATTCAAGTAGCTAATCTTCCAGAATAAGAATATTTGTGTATCAGGAAGTATATCAAAAAAAGATTTAGAATTTTACCAAAGCTCTAAACTATCAGCCCATGGGTCAGACATGACCCTTCAATGCTTCATATCTGGCTTGCAGCCTTGATGACTTCTTTTCTAAAAATCAATGTTTCTAACATCTTGTGGGGATTAAAACAGAAAAAATTCAAATGTGAAACTGTTTACAAAGTCATAAAGGCCTGGCAACAAAAGGGCTTCTATTAGTCTTTTAAAATTACAGTATGTTTTGGTTTACTGAATAATAATGAATACAGCCCACATCTGATATACATCTATTTTGAAGTGGCCCTTTGCAGCATTTGAGTTTGAGACCCCTGCTCTAAACTGACCAGAATTTTAAGCTAGTACTGGGTAGTTAGACAAATTTAGACATGGCATTTTCCAAAATGCTATATGTAGTGAAAGTATTAAAATTAACAAAGATAAGTGTTAGGCAAAGCATTCTGTTTACAGTATAAAGTTATTGGAAGAATTGCAATTGGACTTTTTTTTTATTTTAACAAATATTTTTATTACAGACGAAACTGGGTTATTCTTTAAATGTTTTCCTGATAAAACATTAGCTTTATAAAATATGTGCTTTTGCTGAAAACATAGCAAAGAACATGTAACAATATGGTTGATGCTAATATGATTGGTAGCAAAAAATTAAAATTACTAATAATTAGTAAAAGTCAGAATTCTTGTTGTTTTAAAGGCATAAAATGTCTGGAAGCTGATTACAATTTTAATAAAAAAAAACTTGGATTATAAGGGAAACATTTGCAAGCTATTTACACCAAGTCAAAACTGATAGATACCATAACAGCAATTTCAAACACACTCAAAAAGCTAGTTAAAAGCAACTATTTTTACTATAATAAATATTTTCATTAATTTAGAACAAACATCATCAGGTAAGGTTCTGTCCATAAATTACATCCACATTTTTCTTGAAATTTTTACTTCCCCTTCCCCCATTGTGCCAGTTTGTCTAAGTTTCTGTAACCCCCTTCTCTTCAGACATCCAGCAAAATTCATTTATTTCATTCAACATTTGTTAGGGATAAATTTAATAAAGATATACATTTTGTATGTGGATTTTATGGGATTTGTTAATAAATAATAAATAAATAATTGCTGTTTTCTTTTTTCAAAGCCATGTAGATTTATAGTTTTGGATTAATAACAGAATAAACTACTTTACTTTAATAAAACATTTTATTTGTAGTTTTAATAATTTAATTTATAATGAACAGTTATAAAAGTATATAACTGTTCATTAGAAAAAATAACTTATTAAAAAGTTGGAGAAGCAATAGTAATTCAAACTCTGCTACATTTAGTCAATGTGATGTACTGCAAGGGACATGAGTGTCAAGGAATTTGTAAAGTTGACCAGGGAAAGTCATGGAATTTAAAACAAAAATTTGAGTACAAACCCTGTAAATTATGTTTTTAATGAAATAAAATGGTCTGTGAACATTTAGATTGATATTGGCTTTATTATTGTGATTGTTAGAAACAAAATTGCAATACAGCAACTTTTCTGTATTACTTTATATTTTTAACTGAAATAAATAATCTTAAACTTTTAAGTTATTAAACCAGTAATTAATAGTAATCTGTATATTGTAATAATTCTGATAATTGATTTTGAAATTTATTAGTCTACATTATTTATAAAGATGATACAAAAGTATAAACACAAACTGATATCAGAATAAGAAAGAAATTTTTTTTTAAATGAACAAAATTTATATAAATAGGAACTGGTCCAAAGCAGCAGACAAATCCACCAACTATCCCTGTTTGTGATTTGTTTCCAGATGGCAATTTTCCAGTTGGAGAAGAAATGAGTTACAATGCTTTAATAGATGGGTAAGTTTATATATATGTATATTTCTTTATTAAGTTATTGATAAATTCAAAATCAAACTATAGATTTTCTGATGTGATTTCTTTGGTTGAAAAATTTATAATGAATATAGTAGTTAATATCAAAATATAAACTATTTCTCATTTTTGTATTGGTAATGTTAAATAAAATGTTTTGTAAAATTTATAATACATTTTACTTGTTAATAATTGAATACTGACATGAAACTTGCTATAAACTGATTTAATACTATAATATTTGGAGGCAGCAATTCCATATGAATGTTTTTATCATATATATATTAATTACTGTGTGCACAGATGGTTACAGTCCTTAACTAATATCTGTTATCAATACATTTATCATGTCTTTGTTGAAAATCTATATAATTTTTAGTTGTAAAAATCTACTTTTTTCATAGATTATTTTAAAAATTTAGTTTTAAAAAAACTTATAAAATTTTTAGTTTCTTTTAACATAGTTTGATATTTTTATAGTTCAGTAACAACTGTTGTCATATTTATTGTTTTTATAATGAAAATTTGTTTTTAAATTTTAAACTAATTTATTCTTATTTGAGTTTATTAAATGCATCTATTCTCTATTTAACTTTTTAGAAATTAGATATACTTTTAGTCTGCACTCTAACATAGTGCTCACACACAGTGCTTATTCCTTTTGTAGTTTTAAAATATGTTTGTAACAAGAGAATAGACAATATTTTTTCTAATTTTTGTGAAGTATGAAGATTTTTTACCTAGAATGGCAGTAAAATATCTCTGACTGCAAATTTCTTATATGCTTCTGTAAAATTTATAAAAATTTTTCTTGTAATTTTTGAATAATTCATGTACACACATGCATAATAATGTAGTAATTGACATAACAGATTTTATGTACATAAATGTTTATCATATGAAAGTAGTCTCCAAAATTTTTTTCTTTTAAAAATATCCCCAGCACTTAAATAGCAATTCTTTTTGTTTATTTTACTTGTGAGTAATGTCATCTAATTCTTCATTGAAAGAATTGCTAACAATATTTTGTTTAAAATTAACAAACTGCTGATTAGTTCATTAGTGGATAACAATATTGATTACATTGAAGAATGCTATTCATTGCCCATCTCCAAAAATGATATTTTCAGGAAAAGACATAAGTGTTGTTGTTGTGTACAGGCACAATGAAGTGACGTTTTTCTCAACACTGGGCTAGTTGAATCTTTTATTTAGTTAGTTAGTTATTTTAGTCTAACTAAATAAAAGATTCAACTAGCCCAGTGTTGAGAAAAACGTCACTTCATTGTGCCTGTACACAATAAGCAAATACAACATGGTTTCGACAACATTAAAAGACATAAGCTTTATGAATGTGTTGAATTAAACTTTGCCTTAATTATCAATCACAGGTTCTTCAAAAAGTAAAGATGTTCATCAATAAGTCTGATGATCTTTTGTCAGATTTATTGATGAACCCATGCGTTGAAAACAGTTTAGAATGATTTTCTCAAACTATTTGCCATGCAGCTTTTCCCATATGGGTAATGGTTTATCTTATAAAGTGTACCAGTTACTAATTCTTTTACAGTGTAGTTGGGATTTATTCTATAATGCTTTTTAAAGATCTGAATTACTTCTAGAGATGGAAGCACAGAAGTTAATTCTTTTTATTGTATTGTAAAGGATTTTATATAAAATTTATATCCCTAAGCACATTATGTATAGTATTAATATACTTTTCATGCTGTCATTTTTAGGACAAAAATGCAATTTAGTCTTAAGGAAATATGATATGTTAATTATAAGATTTTAATTATGTTTAATGTGGAGGGTGAATAAACTATGCTAAAATTCTTCATGAATTACTGTGACTTTTTGAAACAAAAGATGCATTTGGCAAGTAAATGGTCTAAAAATTGTCAAATATAATTTAATGATTTAAATATCAACTTGGCATAAAAATATTTCTAATTTTTTCAGAAAAATGGCCAAACAGAGATACACAGATGAAGAAAAGCGTGCTTTGGAAAGGATGCAAAGTGATATCTATAAGGAAATTCGGCAAGCTGCTGAAGCTCACAGACAGGTATAAATTTCAATAATAAATTTTATCATAAGTATTTTTCAAAAACTGTGAATTTCAACTTATGAATATTAGATTTCAATATAAAAGCATAATTTTAAATAACACATTGAGTAAGCTGTCTTTTGGCATTAACAGCTTTTATAAACATAAAATATATGCAAGTACTTTTGATAATGTATTATTGTCTTCATCTTATAGTCTTCATCAGACAAGAACATAAAATACATCATAAAAAGTTATATATATATATATTTTATGTTTATAAAAGCTGTTAACACTGAAAAACAGTTTATCTAATGTGTTATGCTATTTTTATAATTTGATGTGAAGTGTGTGTATAAATTTTGTTAAAACATAATCTGATCTAGACTTATGAAATTGAAGTTAAAGTAATAATTAAAATGAATGTATTTTAAATTCCCTTAAAACAAGAACAATTTAAATGTTGAAATTGATTTGGTGATAGTTAATGCATTCAGTTGTTTTAAATCATCTTTATGTCAGCCAGATGGCGAGACAGTTAAGGCATCAGCCTACTCTCACTCTGGGACCTGGAACTGCATTCAGATGGTTGAAAACACCAGAAAGTTTTTGAAGGTCTTGTTTTAGATATGTTGGGTCCTGTCCCTCACCATCTGGCTACTCATTGTGGGCCTGGCCAAACCTATGAGCTTGAGGAAAAAGCCCACATGATTAAAAGAATAAAAAAAAAATCTCAATAGGTATGATATGTTATCAACCTCATTATACAACAGAATTTTACCAATTGCAAGATTATATTCTTGAAAGCCACTGTACTTTTTTTTTTGTGGTTTTAGGCCCTTTAATGCTCAGAGAGCACAAAAAGAAAGGCCATAACCACTGTAATTGGGAACTTTGCGATAAGAAAATCTTTCTTTTAATGAAAAAAATGAAAATGATCTTGAATTAGTTCATTTACAGACTCCATTAGGAATTATTATAATAATCCATAAAAAGAAGATAAGGAAATAAAATAGTGATGACGGAAAAGAAAGACCAGAACATGTGTAAAAATACATAACTAGATATAGGATTAGATAACTTGATTGCAAATAGTTTTAATAAATGAAAATAATTATGACTTACTGCTTCCAGATAAAAAATCATTTCAATGAACAATAATAAAGGTAAGAAATAAAAACAAATTAGAAAAAGGAAATATTAAAAGTGGCCTTTTGTTCAACTTACCAAGTTCAATGTTTGATGTGTTCATTTTGGTAATAATTTACTTCATTTTACAATTCTATGATAAAAGGTCATATTGGAACAGAATTTATATCAATTTGCAGATTTACAAAATTTTAGCTTGAAACTATTAAATTGCATATATTGAAAATTATGAATAAATCTTTAATTAAAGAGGACTACTTTATTATCATTTTTTTTCTTTCAGTGAATTGTGTACAATTTTTAATAATAATAATAAT